TTTGTTACAAAAGTCTCTAAAAGTCTCAAAATTTAAAAAGTCTCACAAAGTCATTCTGTTTTGAATACCGGGTGACTTATAAAGACTCTCAGAATGTTTTAATTGAATACCTTGAGACTTTTGGAGACTTATTAAAAGTCATTAAAAGTCTCAATTGAATACATGTAAACTTTTCAAAAGTCTTTAAAAGTTCTAATTGAATACACCAGAATTCTAAAAGTATTAAAAAGTCTCTAAAAGTTGAAATCGAATACAACCCCCTAAAAATAAGGAAAAATTCGGGTAACAGACCGTGTCGTTGCCTAGGGCTAGTAATTTCATAAGATAGTGAGATTTGATGCCAGAATTGATTAGACGAGTCAGTCGAGAGTGTAGACGGAACCGTGAACTAGAAAATTCTCTTATTTATTTTATTTTATTTTTTATTTTTTATTGTTTTGATTTCATTCTTTGATAGATAAGTTATTAATTCAAAATCCCCCCCAGTTTATCGCTTTTATAATTCAATTAATACAAGAAAATTTACGATTTGATACACACTCCCTGTGGTATCGACCCTTACTTGCCACTACTACTAGTTAGTAGAGGTTTGTCGAGGAAAAAATATAAATTATAATTTTGCCGCGTTGCGACGCGCGGTCAAAGAGACGTTGTGGAAAAGTGTTTCCTTTCGATGTTTGCTCGCCATGTGTTGGATTTTGAACCGTTAATGTGTCAAGAGTCATCTATTTTTTGAAACGTCTCCCCGACGCATTAATGACAACGATGTATGTACCAAGGAAGATATCTTCTCGATGATACACATATATGAGAAAAGAATTCTCTTTTCCTATTGATAAGTGTTGTCGACGTACTCCTTCTATCTTCTCACTTTATTCTTTCATTCCATAGTATCAAATTGTCTTTTCATAGAGAGAATTTGTTTGAGTCGCTTTGTGAGAAATTGTATTGTACGAAACAATGGGACATTTAGAGATACTATTTGCTTGAAGAGTAAGGTTGCCG